CTGACTCTTAATTAGCAGTTTTGGGAATCAAACCTTACTTGAAAAACGACAAGACCCTGGTTTAAGTTAACTATACAAATATTTATTCTCCTCTGTCTGGCAAAGATTTAATGAATGAGTTTGATAGGATTTAATTTGTAACAGAACTCGAGCTAGAATGAAGTACACTATTTTATAGAATAGAATCAACAATTCTAGAGGCTAAAGTAATGTTTTCAAGTTCATAGTCCCGTAGAGCTGAAATTTCATCCAAAATGTTTAAATTTCTACTGACCTTTAAGAATGACATATCCACACATATATGGCTTTCCTTTTTCCTAATTTTACTTTATTTTACACTTTCTTATTTACATTTAATTGTGTACATCTTTACAGCATACAATATAAAGCATGCATGCATTGTGTGGTATTTGGATATTACCATATAGATAATTTTCAACAAAGAACCTTATTTTCTTATGTCTGTTCAAAACTCTTTTCCTAAGTGCTTCCCATGTAGTCTGTGGTATCCACACCTGTCCTTGTTACTATTATGCCTTTGCAGTGTCTCTGATAGTCTGTGTGGTTTTCAATGGGAAATTCTAGAATCTAAAGGATACTTAGATTCTCTTACAGACCTCCCAAGAAATATTATTATTTGGCACAAATCAATAGATATATGTAGTTTTTAGAGAATTCTTATATTTTTTTAATTCCAGTAATTTACCCTTTTAGTTTTTTATCCTTCTTTAAATTTAGTCTGACATTATCTACATTTTCTTTTTTTAAGCAGTTAGTCCATTAATTCATAAATGGAATTTTATATGTAATACATGAATTCAAAGTTATATATTTATTAAATATTTTAATTACATTAGTAACATTTTATTTATTTATTGGAGAGGTTTTTGCTATAGGGCACATGTACTCGCCAGAAAGACAGACAGAGATAGATAGAGAGACAGAAAGTGAGAAATCACCCCTCAGGGGGGATGGCCATGCCGCAATCCCTTCTCTTCCATTCTCCTCTCAGGATCTTGGGCAAGCATGCACACATGCCCGGTGTGAATTTAAACCAACTGGTCCGGGACTCAAACCACAGTTAACTATATGGGAGTCCAGTGACATAGCCATTATGCCAACTGCTGGTCCCATTAATAACATTTTAATATTCTCATTGTTTTTGCACTTTTTATCTTTTGTGACTTCCAATATTATTTTAAATTTAATTCACTTATTTCATAACATTGCTAAATTTTTCCAAATACTTGTATTCCTTCTGTATTTTATGGTATTTTTATATTTTGCTTCATGGTCTTCATGATACCCTTTGTTACTTCTAACTTATTACCTAGAAAATTAGTGATATTTATAAGTATTTGTTTGCTTAAAATGATCTGTGATTTTATTTTTTTGCATGTAAGTTTATATTTAAATCCTTTGGTACAAAATTAATAGTGCTGTCAAATATATACCAATTTTAGTTTACATTTTTATTTCAAAAGATATATTTAAAATGTTTTTACCATAACTCTGATTTTATCATTTTATACTTTAATTTCTTTCAAGTTGAGATTTGTGTCTAGGTCTAGGTCTGTCACAAATATATTACTCTGCTAATGGCTCCAATATATTTTTTCACAATTATCATTTTAACTCAATTACTACTTTTTATATCTGATATTGATATTGCTAAATTTTTTTGCTTATGTAATAATACTTGATTCGCTTTATCCATTTGCATTTAAAGTTTCTCCAGAAATAAGTTTTCACATTTAATCTGAGAATTTTTTTAATCAGCATTTGTAATCAAGAATAATTATTGTATTTACAGATGTATGTGAATGATCTTTTTTCACATTTTCTACTGCCATTCATTTTATTTATAAATTTTCCCTTATTAATATATCCACTATCTTATTTTATTCCTTTATTGTTTTGACATGATCTTCTCTCTCCTTCTCTCTCCCACCCTGGCATCCATCCTTTACATCTTCAACTTATCTCTCAGTAGCTCTAAGCTCTCCAAAATAATGCAAGAATCATGGTCGTATGTACTGCCTATTTCTCCAAAAGTATTCATTCATACAACAAATATAAATGTAGTGTTTATTAAGTGTGAGGCTCTTAGGAGAGAACAGTGAAATGACATCTCCCATACCTTTAGAAATTATGGGAGACGATGCATATTGAGTCAATAATCTAAACATTGTTGTACATTATTTTCCTTCTTTGGACAGTTAGACAATCTTTTAGTTGTTCTTTTCACTAAGGTTGAATCTATATTCTTGTTCTGCATTGATTGAACAATCTTATTATAAGTACTCAATACAGCATGCCCAAGACTATGATTTGGGCATTAAAACGCCAAACCTTAGATAATAGAGTTTTTTGCTGCATAGTGTCCTTCAGAGCACTAAGGTATCAATTTGCACTTTTAGTAATCTTACCTATATTTATCTCCTTATTTTCCAATCTCAGATATCTTTAATTTGATACAAAATGCATGTAGTAAGATTATTGATTGTTTCTTTGTAAGCATTAAACTATGTAGAAACAACTTCATTAATTAACCTTAGTTCTTTTCATTACAAGTAGTACATAATGCTATTATCTGGAATAAGGTGCACATATATGCACCAAGTCTACATCTACACTACCTCTTCTGTAGATTCTATACTTTTAACATGCAGCTTAAAAATTGTCTTTATATTGCATTCTTAATATTTGAAATTATTAAAAAGAAAGTAATGATAAAAATACACTATGGCACAAGTAAAAACATTTAAAAAATCTGTTCTGAATTTTGAGATTCAACTATTAGTAAAATACTATATAATAAAGAGTGTTAGGTATAGGAAGATTTGTTGTTGGTAAGTCTATCAAAACATTTATCTCACACTCACTGGTTTGTGGAGTATGTTATGTATGTATGTGTGTGTGTTTGACTTCTGCTTCATTCATTAAAGTGTGACTATATAGACTGATCTAAGAAACAAAAATATGGACAAGTAAGGCAAAATTACACAAAGCTATAACCAACTGGATTTAAAGAACCCTTGGATTTCCAAACCATTTAACTATTTATATTTGCTTAGATTTAGACAAATTGTTAGCACTTTTAAACATGAGTTACCTCACTATAAAATGGGTATACTAATGTAATCTTATACATTTTTGTGCAAAACTAGACACATCAGTGCTTCATAAATTCTCAAGTACATTATGAAAAGATCTTTTCCATGTATCTTGTAATCTAATTTTCTACTTAAAATGTTTTGAAGTGTAAAAACTCTTAAGATTTGGGGCCAGCAGATGGCATAACAGTTATATTGCTGAACATAACTGACCAACCATGGTTCAAGTCCCAGACCTGGTGGCTTGAAAATCACGCTGGGCTCATGAGTACGATTGCCCAAGATGGGAGGCAGAAGTGGTGCTGGAAGAGAAAGGATTGCAACAAGCCCATCCTCCCTCTCACTTTCCCTCTGACTGTCTCTGTCTCTCTTTCTCTGGCAAGCACATGTGCCTTAAGGCAAAACTCTCTATTTAGGAAAAAAAAGTGCTATGACAAAAAGAAAAGTTAGCAAAGGGTTAGGTGAGAATCTGGATTACAGAGGCTAGGGTCTGGCTGTAGTATGAAACCCTGTGATTGGAAAAGACCTGAGACACAGTAGGTAAGTGGATGGGGAAAGAGACACCAAGCAGGTGGTGTGATGGTTACATCACCGGACTCCCGCTTAATCAAACGCTGTTCGAATCCTTGACCTGGTAGCTTAAAATTCATGCCAGTCATATGTGCCCAAGATCCTGAGAGGAGAATGGAGAAGGGATTGCAGTATGGCCATTCCCTCTGGGAGATGATTTCTCACTTTCTGTCTCTCTGTCTCCCTCTGTCTCTCCAGCGAGTGCACATGCCCTATAGCAAAAATCTCTTAAAAAAACATGATAAATCAATAAGAGGGTGATCCAAGCAGATGTCTGGGAATATGTCTCAGACACTGGGAGCAACTGAGTCTAAAGGCCCCAAGGCCTACGCATCTGCGTTTTCCAGAGACAACAAGGAGGCCAGAATATTGGAGCACAGTTAGAACAAGGGTGAACGGCATGAAGTAAAAGCAAGAATGACATCTTTAGGGACTAGAATGGGACCGATGCAGTTTAAGTCCTGGACTCAGTAGCTTAAAACTCACACTGGGCACATGTGCATGCATGCTGAAGTCCCAGGAAACTGGAGAAGAAGGGATTGCAGTGTGGCCATCCCTCTGGGGAGTGATTTCTCACTTTCCCTTTCACTATCTCTCTGGCAAGCACATGTGCCCTAAGGCCAAAACCTCTTAGAAAAATAAAATTCCCGATAATCAGTCTCTATATTAGATCTCTAAGGAAAAAATAAATTATCAAAGCCCAAAGTAAGATCCTGGGTTGTGATACCAGATTGATTTCACCTTGGCCAGTTTTATTTCTTGCTACATGGAAGATCTTGAACAAAGGCCTGATTTCTTCTATTTTCTCTTCTTCTGTTGTGAGAGAGTGGAAATAAATTGCTTGTAGAGTTTTATGGTTGATTAACTAAGTAAACACATAGACTGTACTACATGCCGAAATTCTGTTTCATAATAAATTACTAATAAATGTAAATGTTGGGATCAGAATAATGACTATGCTGAATCCTTGTTTAATGTCATGATCACGGATAGTCCCTTTCTCAGCAATTTTTCAACGATAACTAAGCATAGAAATTTTTTTTGTGTGTGAGATTTTCACTGTAGGGCGCGTGCGCTCGCCGGACAGACAGAGAGAGACATAGAGACAGAAAGCGAGAAATCACCCCCCAGGGGGGATGGTCACGCCGCAATCCCTTCTCCTCCATTCTCCTCTCGGGATCTTGGGCACGCACGCACACGCGCCCGGCGTGAGTTTTAAGCCACCGGGTCCGGGACACGAACCGCGGTCGACTACGTGGGAGTCCAGCGACATAGCCATTACGCTAACTGCTGGTTCCCTATTTTTTCTTTTAGTGAGGATGCTCCAGGACCTCAGAGATTCCAACAGCTCTAACTTCCAGGTCTCTGAGTTCATCCTGATGGGATTCCCAGGCATTCACAGCTGGCAACACTGGCTCTCCCTACCTCTGGCTCTGATTTATCTCTTAGCTCTCAGTGCCAACATTCTTATCCTGATCATCATCAATCAAGAGGCAGCACTGCACCAGCCTATGTACCATTTCCTGGGCATCTTGGCTGTAGTAGACATGGGCCTGGCTACCACCATCATGCCCAAGATTTTGGCCATCTTATGGTTTGATGCCAAGACTATCAGCCTCCCTGAGTGCTTTGTTCAGATGTATGTCATACACTGTTTTGTGGGAATGGAGTCAGGCATCTTCGTCTGCATGGCTATAGATAGATATGTAGCCATTTGTCGACCACTACGATACCCATCAATAGTTACTGAATCTTTTGTGATCAAAACAGCTGTGTTCATGGCACTCAGAAACAGCCTGTGTCCCGTCTCAGTGCCTGTGTTGGCCGCCCAAAGACACTACTGCTCCAGGAATCGTATTGAACACTGCCTTTGTTCTAATCTTGGAGTCACTAGCCTCTCCTGTGATGACAGGACAATCAACAGTATTAACCAACTAATTCTGGCTTGGACACTGATGGGTAGTGACCTGTGTTTGATTATTTTATCTTACGCTTTAATACTTCATTCTGTGCTGAATCTGAACTCAGCAGAAGCTGTATCTAAGGCCTTAAGTACCTGCACTTCCCACCTCATACTAATCTTCTTTTTCTACACAGTCATTATTGTCATTTCTATTACCCACAGTGCAGGAATGAGAGTTCCCCTCATCCCAGTTATACTCAATGTGCTACACAATGTCATCCCCCCTGCTCTCAATCCCATGGTATATGCTCTCAAGAACAAGGAGCTCAGGCATAGCTTGTACAAAGTGCTTAGGCTAGACATCAAGGGAAACTAACTGAAGAAGATACCCACATTGAGTATACTCCCCACGTATTTATCCGTAATACTTTCTAGTGTGTGCCAATAGCAGAAATAAGGGACAAAGACACTGTGGTAGCATTTTATGCAGCATAGGAAATCAGCATAGGAAAAAAAGTTTTGGAATAAAATACATTTTGGAATAAAGAGATGGACATGCTTTTTAGAAATATGTATGTCAAGCTGAAATTGTCATCATGAAGATTAATATCATGTGGGGTCAGCAGGTGGTGTGGTGGCTAAGGCACTGGATTTCCACATGGCCAACCTCGGTTCAAATCCTGGACCTGGTGGCTTGAAAATCACCTCAGGAATATGTGCATGCATGACCAAAATTCCAGAATAATGGAAGAGAAGAGATTGTGGAATGGCCATTGCCCTTGGGGTGTGATTTGTCCCTTTGCTTCTTACTGTCTCTCTGTCTCTCTCCTGAAAGCACACACGCCCTATGACAAAAATCTAAAAAAAAAAAAAAGAAAAGATTAATGGGATGCTGATAGTCTTATGACTATATATTTAAACAATGTTGTTTAAATATGTAACAATATATGTGTAGATATATGTGTGTATATATGTGTATATACATATATATAAAGTATTTTCTACATAAATATGTGTGGCAATGTTTCCTGTAATAAAGGAATGATTATATCTCTATTCATAAGGAAATGGTTAAAGAAATTTTGTAAATAAATTATGTACTCTTATTTAATCATAAGAATACTGTATAATGATTTTTGAACATCTTTAAAACATATTAACTGAAAAAGGTAGAATTTATGTTTCTTATATTGCTATGCAACATTTTTGTCAAAACATGTACCAATTGTTTATTAAAAAATGTATCAGAAGCTACATCCACATTATAGAATTCAAGAGTTTTCTTTATTTCATTTTTGTTATTTTAATTAATAAAAATATACAAATATTACTTTATTGTTGAATAAATGAATATAAATTTAGAAACAGTTATTGTGTTTTGTTATTTCTATCATTACCACCTTTATTCTTATCTCAAAATTTGAGCAGTTAATTATTCATAATTTAATATACATTCATAATAATCTAAAGTATGGGTGAATTTCTATAATGTCGTAGAATACATCATCGACCTCATTTGAAAATAAATGTCTTGAAAACCAGAACCGATTTTATCCGATTATTTTTCATAGCCTAACATCATTAAGAGGTTGCCAAGAATCTCAGGTTGTTATGTAAATATACACTTGAAAACATAATTGAATAAACGAACATAGGAATGTGTGTGAGGTATTGAAACATTCTATACTTACATGCTTTCAATTTGTATCCTGCTGGGCTTTATACAGAAAAGAATACAATTCTACAAAAAATGTCAATTATATTTTTTATTAAAAATAACTGGTATTCATTGTCAGACATACAAAATGGGGGAAAGGATAGTGACAGAATTTTTTTGTTATAAGTATGAAATAAATTGTAAAGAGATTTGAGAGTATTCTAATTGATTACTACAGTCTCAGCAATATAGATTTAATCCATCCATCCACTTTGAAGGCAAAAATGTTTTAAAAGACAATTTTTTCTTTGGAAATGTTTACATTTCTATTTCTCAGATTTCATATCTATTGACATGATTGTGAAAATCCATTTTCCTGCAACCAAACAAACATTAATGGTAACAGTGAAAGTAATGTATGAATTTCCCTGTAGCAAAAATAGTAGAGAAGAGTCCTTGATCACAGTCCAAACACTATTCCTTCTTACCTGCCCTCCCTGTACCTCCAAATGTAAATCTAATTTTTCTTAGTTCATTCCTACAGAAACTTGGTGATGATGGTGTTTCATCCATTTCATATAGCAAACTTTTTAGGATTAATCTATTATCATATTGGTAGAACATAAATTGTAAAGCTTGATGATGGGTACTTGTGAAAAAAAAAAACAACTTCATTTTCTGTGGGGTTTAGCAATGAGAATAGACGATAGAAGACACCGGAGTTGTACTTAATGCTACTACTTCAATACATTTACTCAAAGCATAAGATCAGTAAATTTTCCTTACAGAAAAATTAAGTTAGGATATATTAAAATAATTTAAAGTTTTGTTTTGGGGATGATGTTGGCCCTCTGGGTTCAGCTTCAGGGCTGTGAAGCCCCCATCTCCCCAGCCAGGATCCCCGCTTCCAGACCTCAGTGCTAGCCAGGAAAGAAAGCATTCAGCCAACTTCACTTCTGACTGTTGGCCCTCTGGGTTCAGCTTCATGGCTCTGAAACACTGCCCCAGCCAGGGTACCCCCTTCCAGGCCCCAGTGCTAGTCAGGTAGGCAAGTGTTCCTATCTCTCTTGTTCTTCTCTGTTCTTTCTAACTGTTTTTACTTTTTTTCTCTTTAAAACAAAACAAAACAGGGACCAACAGTTAGAGTAATGGCTATGTCACTGGACTCCCACGTAGTCAACCGCAGTTCAAGTCCCAGACCCGGTGGCTTAAACACTCTGGGCGTGTGTGCGTGCGTGCCTAAGATCCCCAGAGGAGAACAGAAGAGAAGGGATTTGCAGCGTGGCCATCCCCCCTGGGAGGTGATTTCTCGCTTTCTGTCTCTCTGTATCTGTCTTTCTGGCGAGCGCATGTGCCCTATAGCAAAAACCTCTCCAAAAACAAAACAAAACAAAACAAAACAAAACCACCAGTTTTCTGCCCCATTTGTGCCTTTCTCTTGTTAATTTGTATTTTGTTCACTCAACTAGACAGAAAGCATCCAGGCAACACCACGTCTGACTGTGTTGGCATTTTGGGCAGCATGCATGGTTTTCTATTTTTAACCCAATTTCATTATCTACCATGCGATTTCTACTTTTGATCCTCCTCACTTTGTTCTAGTTCTTTCCTTCATTTTTCTTGCTTTTTCTTTCTATTTCTATTTTCTATTTTCTTTTACCTACTTTCCTGTTTTACTGCTCAGCCCTTACCTACTGCCTAGAGAAGATTAGGTGCATGTAGCTAAACATCTGAACATTGTGAGTTTTAGGGAATTCTTTGCACCTCACTGTAGCAGTTGCAAAAAGAGTAAAATTTCCCTCCATAAATCTGATTGCAAAACTTATTGTGATTTCCACACTGGAGGACACAGTAGAAGGACGAAAATACCACCAAACTATTTCCCTTACCACAGTAAGGGAAATACACTCACTCATGTCACAGAATTCTTCTCCAACTCATTTTCCAAAAGTGAATAAATTACCAAATGACTAAAAATAGAAGTAGAGCCTCATGGTTGAGAGAATCAAGTAATACATCTCCAGCAAGAGCACTCTGTAACTCATCTCCAAGTACACAAAATTTAGATGATATTACTGAAATGTCAGAAAGGGAATTTAGAATATTTATGGTAACAAAATTCTGTGAGATGCAAGAGAAAAGAGACGTTGAGCTCCAAGAGATAAGTAAATCCTTCCATAATATGAAAGAAGAATTGCACACCACAAAAAAAAAAAATCAAATGGAACTGTTAGCTATAAAGGTTGTAACATAGGAAATCAAAATCTCCCTCAAAAGTATTAAAAGCAAGATAGACCATGCAGAAGATCAAATCTCAGGAGTAGAGGACAAAAGTTCTGATCTAGAAAAAATAATTTAAAAACAGAAAATTGAGGATAAAAGCCAAGAAAATTGAGGATACTATATAAGAAACACCAAATACCATGAAATGTCCCAAAATTCGAGTAATTGGTTTCCCAGAAGGTGAAGAAACTAATAAAGGCATTGATACTTTGTTCCACAAAATTCTTGAAGAAAACTTTCTAAGTCTAAAGAGGCAAGTTACAAGAGTACTCGGTAACTAAGTTACCGAGTGCTCTTGCTGGACATGTATTACTTGATTCTCTCAACCATGAGGCTCTACTCCTATTTTTAGTCATTTGGTAATTTATTCACTTTTGGAAAATGAGTTGGAGAAGAATTCTGTGACATGAGTGAGTGTATTTCCCTTACTGTGGTAAGGGAAATAGTTTGGTGGTATTTTTGTCCTTCTACTGTGTCCTCCAGAGTGGAAATCACAATAAGTTTTGCAATCAGATTTATGGAGGGAAATTTTACTCTTTCTGCAACTACTAGAGAGAGGTGCAAAGAATTCCCTAAAACTCACAATGTTCAGATGTTTAGCTACATGCACCTAATCTTCTCTAGGCAGTAGGTAAGGGCTGAACAGTAAAACAGGAAAGTAGATAAAAGAAAATAGGAAATAGAAATAGAAAGAAAAAGCAAGAAATACAAAGAATCCCAAGTAGAATCATTCCAAGAAGATACTCTCCTCAGAACATCATAGCTAGGGGTCAGCAGTTAGAGTAATGGCTATGTCGCTGCACTCCCACGTAGTCAACCGCAGTTTGAGTCCCGGACCCAGTGGCTTAAAACTCACGCCGGGCGCGTGTGCGTGCGTGCCCAAGATCCTGAGAGGAGAATGGAGGAGAAGGGATTGCGGCGTGACCATCCCCCCTGGGGGGTGATTTCTCGCTTTCTGTCTCTCTGTCTCTGTCTGTCTGTCTGGCGAGCGCACGCGCCCTATAGCAAAACAAACGACCAAACAAACAAAATATCATCATAGCTAGACTGACCAAAACTATAGACAAAGAAAAAGTACTCAGATTGGCACGAGAGAAATGTCAAATTACTTAACAAAGGCTATCCCATCAGGCTAACACCAGACCTCTCAACAGATACAATGAAAGCAAGGAAAGAATGGGGAAATATATTCAAAGTGTTAAATGAAAAACAATTTCAGGCAATAATGCTATACCTGACGAGATTATCCTTTATGGGAAAAGAAGATAAAAATGTTCTTAGATAAACAAAACCTGAAAAAATTTATAAACTCTAGACCAGCTCTTCAAGAAATTCTGAAAGGAGTACTATACCAGGAAAACTGAAGACAGACAGACTTTAGTTTTAGCAATAAGTAAACAAAAAACAACCAAGTATATGGCCAACTTAATGGTAGGGATAAGTCTGGAAATATCGATAATAATGTTGAAAGGTATTTGATTAAATTCTCCAATCAAGAGACACAGATTGGCTGACTGGATTAAAAATCAGAAACCCTCCATCTGCCACCTACAAGAAACCCATCTCGTGGATAAAAACATACATAGACTAAAAGTGAAGGGCTGGCAAAAGTTATTCCATCCAATGGAAACCAAAAAAGAGCAGGAGTCACTATACTGATTTCGGACAAAATGGGCTTTAAGACAAAAACCGTAAGAAGAAACAAAGAAGGGAATTACATAGTACTAAAAGTTCTAATTTACCAAGAAGATATAAGGTCTAAAAATATCTATTCACCCAACTCAGGAGCACCCAAATATGCAAAGGAAAGACTACCAGATCTAAAAGGAGAGATAGTCTGTCACACAGCAATTGTTGGAGATCTCAATACCTCATTATCTCTTTTAGACAGGTCAATGAGATGAAAAATAAGTAAAGAGATTCAGGATCTAAATGATAGCATAAATCAGATGGACATGATAGACATCTATAGAACTTTTCACCCAAAACACAAAATATACATTTTTTTTCAGCCCCTTGTGGTACTTTCTCAAAGATTGACCATATGATAGGGCATAAAACCAGCCTTTACAGATTCAAAGGCATAGAAACTATATCCATCACCTTCTCTGACCATGACAGAATTCAACTTGAAATTAATCTCAGGAAAAAAAACTCAAAAATACACAAATACATAGAAACTATATAAACTACTTCTGAATCAACTCAAAGTAGATCAAAGATCTAAACTTAAGACCACAAACTATAAAACTACTGATGGAAAACACTGGAAAAACCCTGGGAGACCTTGGGGTAGGCAAAGACTTCTTAAGAAAGACTTACCAAAGCACAGGCAATAATCCCCCAAATACACAGGTGGGATTATATATAATATTAATAATAAGATTAAGGAGTTTCTGCACAGCAAAGGACACTGTAATTAGTGTGAATTGATAACGCTTAGAATGGAAGAGAATTTTTGTTAATTGTTCCTCGGATAAGGGACTGATAACCAGAATACAAAGGGAACTCAAGCAGTTTACCTGAAAGAAAATGATTAACCCAATTAAAAGATGGGAAATGAACTGAATAAACAACTCTCTAAGGAAGACTTACAGTCAAAAAGCATATGAAAATATGCTCAACATCCCTCACCATAAGGGAGATGTAGATCAAAAGCACAATGAAATACCACCTAATCCCAGTCAGAATGGCGAAAATTAAAAAAAAATTATAAGTGCTTGCTGGGATGTGGTGAAAGGGGAACACTCCTACGTTGTTGGTGAGAATGTAAATCAGTTCAGCCACTGTGGAAAACAATATGGATGTTCCTCAAAGACCTTCAAATAGAACTATCACATGATCCAGCAATTCCACTCCTGGGTATCTACTCAAAGGACAGGAGAATGCTCAGTCGGAAAAGCACTTGCACAACTATAGTTATTACAGCAGTATTCACAATTGCTAAGAAATGGAACCAACCCGAATGTCCATCAACAGATTAGTGTATTGAAAAAGTGGGGCACATATACTCTATGGAATACTATTCAGTCATAAAAGACAACACAGCCCTGGAATCTGATAAAAAGTGGATGAATATGGAGGACTAGTTGCTGAGTGAAGCAAGTCATGCTATGAAAGAGCGACATTGTATGTCTCCACTTAACATATACTGACTGTCTGCACTCAATGGTAGAGACTTAAAGTCTGGAAGATATAAAAGCATTAAAAATTGTTATGAACACTAGAGACAAAATGGAAGGAGAATGTGGGAGGGCCAGAGCATAGGAAAGGAAATTTGAGGGAAAAAATTGAAAGGTAAGACATTTGTGGGACACAGATTTGTATAGCTTTTGCAACTGGGCTGGACTGAGGTGTATATCATGCTGGGTAAAGTCTCTTTTCAATCTAAATGATGTAAAGTGATTTAACGTATAAATAATAATAATAATAATAAAAACAAGAAAAAAGTAGTTTTGTTTTTGGAAAAAGACATATTTACTTCATGGTTAATAATTCCATTTTCTTGGTATCAGCTTGAATCTTTGAGAGTCTTAAAAATGTATTGATGATTAAGATCTGTATAACAATAAATTCAGTTCTAGTAATTAAAACTATAAAAATAAAAAAGAAACAGGAGAAACATAAATATTTGTCTTATATTTTCAAAATACATTCTTCAAAATAAAAACAAGTAATCTCAGAGATATTCTTTCCTATTCTCAATTTCTGAGTACCTATATTTTCCCTAATTTCTTTATCTGCTTCTGTTGTAAGGATATAGAGACATGGGGTGACTTTCAAATGTATTAAGAGAGAGAAGAGAGTATGATCCTATTTTTTCAACCATTTGTAAAAATTTGGCATAGATATTCAAATATTTTTCAAAACTGTTTAATGTCTAGTTATTTTCTATAGTAATGCATAAAATAAAATTTTAAATTAATCAGTTATGTAATTCCATATGCATGTGTTTTTATAGATAAACATCTGTCTATACATGGATGTTAATTATTAATTTTCTATCTTTAATGATAATTTTGAAAAGAAATATGCAAAATATAATGATAGAAACATAATATACAAATTTAAAACTCTGACAGAAAGAAAAAGTGACAAATTTGGGTTTCAAGAAAACACATGCTTTTTTCTCCAAAAAAAAAAAAAAAAGAAAAAAAAGGGACCAGTAGTTAGTGTAATGTCACTGGACTCCCATGTAGTCGACCACGGTTCGCGTCCCAGACCCGGTGGCTTAAAACTAACACTGGGTGCGTGTGCGTGCATGTCCAGGATCCCAAGAGGAGAGTGAAGGAGAAGGGATTGCGGCATGGCCATCCCCCCCGGGGGGTGACTTCTCGCTTTCTATCTCTCTGTTTCTCTCTGTCTTTCTGGCGAGCGCATGCACCCTATAGTGAAAACCTCTCCAAAAAAAAAGAAAAAAAAAAAGAAAACACATGTTTTTTAATATTGTAAGTCTATATTTCATTTGTACATAATGCAAATGACAAGATTTATCTTAGCCTTGCAATTATTAGTACAACTTTATATCATTGTTGATACACAGTAAATTCAGGATCAATTAAGAAGCGGTGATAAATGGACTCCCTGTTGTTAAATTTTCTACTTTATATTGATAGCGTAAGAAAGACATTTTCAGCCTTTTTTTTATGACTTTGCTGTGGAAAACTGTCAAATCTGAATTTTAGCTTCAAAGGCTAGCTGGGCTGGAAAATGTCCTGAAAAGTCATTTCTTTTATCTCTAGGAAAGATTATCAAAAAGGACAAGATACTTAAGCCCACTCTCAAAAGGCAAAGAAAATAACTGAGATGGATAATTTAAAGGAATGTTTTGGGCTTGTACCTATGAATTGATTAAAACTGGCAATGGATACCAGCATTATACTCATTACTTCTGTGAGGCCAAATAATTTTTTCCATTCCACAATATATGTATATATATTTCAAAACATCATGTTGTACATGATAAACTCACATAATAAAGATAAATTATTATTATTTTTAAAAATTTCATGACAAAGAAAAATTAAGGGAAAGATTCTGAGATATAAATCTAGAATTAAATATTAATTTCTCAAGTACAATTTTAGAAAACATATTCCAGGAGAGATAATGAAAATGTCTGATAGCACAGATAGTGAAGGTTAAAGACTCCACATGAGTTTCTTCCTGGTTATATTTCATTCATCTTCTATCTAGATTCAATTATTTTAAATCAACCGGTGCCTTTCTCACCCTGGAAAAACTTTATGACACTCTCTCGGATCTGTTTTGTCTTTACCCCATAAACAATGGGATTTAGAGTAGGGGGAAGAAGAAGATAAAGATTAGCCACAATGATGTGAAGAGACGGGGGAATGGTGCGTCCCCCAAAACGGTGGGTAAAGAAAGTAAAGAATGCTGGAACGTAGGTGATGATGATAGCAGATATGTGAGCAGTGCAGGTGCTGAAGGCTTTCTGTCGAGCATCTGATGATGAGAGGCTGACCACTGCCTGGAGGATCATGGTGTAAGACACAGATATACAACAAATATCAAACACTCCAATCAGGAGGGCAACCATCAGACCATAGATGACATTGACCTTGATGCTGGCACAAGATAACTTGACCACAGACATGTGGTCACAATACGTATGGGAGATGATATTGCTTTTGCAAAAGGGCAAACGTTTGACCAAGAAGGGGAAAGGAATCATCAACAACACTCCCCTCAGGAAGGTGGCAATTCCAGCTTTGAAAATGATGGGGTTGGTGAGTATAGTAGCATAACGCAAAGGGTAGCAAATGGCCACATAGCGGTCGAGAGCCATGAGCATAAGCACCCCGGACTCCACACCTGTGAAACCATGGACGAAGAACATTTGGGATAAGCAGGCATTAAAGTTAATTTTCTTGAGATTGAACCAGAAGATGCAAAGTGCATTGGGTATAGTGGTGGTGCAGGTAAGTAGGTCAATGAGGGAGAGCATAGCCAGAAAAAAATACATTGGACGATGTAAAGACTCTTCATAATAAATGAGGTAGACAAGACCAAGATTTCCCACAAGAGAGATGATATACATTATGCAGAGTGGGAGGGAAATCCATATATGTACTCTTTCCAGACCAGGAATTCCATTAAGAACAAAAAATTGGGGAGGCACATATGAATTGTTGGAAAATAGCATAACTAATGCAATAGAGGTATTTTTTTTCAGAAGTCTCTGTCCTAAAGAGAAAGTATTAAGAAATTAAAATCTGACTTAGATCTTCTTTGCAAATGAAAATTTAAATTTGAAATAAAATTACATTTACCATAGTACTAACCATTTGAATAACGGTAGGTATGAAAAAATTTACTAAATAATATATACATAGCCATGTGTCATATACATTTAGGATATCTCCATTTTAAATTTCCACAGTCACTTTAAATTTACAATGTCTAAGACTAAATTCATCACCGCAACCTCTGCCCAGAACAAAAATAAGCTCTACACTTCAGTTTTGTCTTCTAGATAATGGTATCATTGTCTAACATTAGTTTACTATTACCTAATCTAGTATCTTTGTGATTTCTGATCATCTTCTACCCATAATTTTTAAAAATTTAATTCTGTTATTATAATTTCTAATGGCATGTAATCATAGTACAAAGTTTATGGGTCATAGGTGGTTTTGCAAAACAAGTGTACATTGTGTAATGATTTTAGAAGGGCAATGAATAAACCATGGCAATAAATAAGTATATCATCACAAACATTTATCATTACTTTGTGTTGTACATTCAAAATTCACTCTTCTATTTTGAAGTAGACACTGAATTCTCATCAGTTATCATTATTCTACTGTGCTGCAGTACTCTAGAAATCATCCACTTATCTACACACACTCTTGTATCTGTTAACCAAGTTCTTCCCATTTCTGCACCCACTTTTTTCTAGCTTCTGGTGTCCACATTACATACTCTACTTCTGTACAATAAAATATTTTAGCTTCCACTAATGAGTGAAAACATTGGTTATTTGTCTCTCAGTGCCTGGTATATATAATTTTGAATTAATTCTTCAGTATCATAACATCTATCATTTCTTTATAGCTCAAAGTACCCCAGTTGTATTCCATCCAGGCCACCTCAATATGTCTAATTTTTTTTGTAGTCTATGCTCAAATGAAAAGAACTTCCATTTTAATCCAGAAGCATTTTTAATATCACACCTTCCTTCTACCACCACTCTCACTGTTCATTTTAAAAACTACCTAGTCACATTTATCACATTCTTTGCTTTGCCTCTTGTATTTTTTCAAATCAAATTTGTCCTACAGCATAATTTGAAGATACTTTTATCCATTGCTCAATAATCTTCAATGTATTCCCATTATTCCAGTGAAAGAACTCCAATTCCTTGGAGTGACAGTCAATAAAATAAACTTTAAGCGCTATTTTTCCTTTTCAGTTTTACTATTTCCATTCCCAGACATTAAAAAGTGTTCTGGTTTAGATAATACATTGTATGGTCAATGAATGTTAACCTTTTATGTTTAAATCTTGCTGAGCTACATTAATCTTACTAATCCCAAAATACTACATAAAATTAAAGCCTGTCTTGATTTTGCTCAGTTTCTTTCAATTATTTGCAAAGCTCTCTGCAAAACTGGTAAATGGAAGGAAAATGAGAGACTAGAAAAACAATAGAAAAGATCAATAAACTAAGAGATTAAAAAAAAAAAAGATAAATAAAGCCAACAAAACTTTAGCCAGGCTAAGAGAAAATTAATTGGGACAGCCTATGGCTTGATGATTAGGTGAACCAGATCCCACATTGAAGACTGCATGGTTCATGTCCCAGATCAAGCAGTTTGAAAAACACACCAGGCACATGTGTGTGCATGTCCAAAATCCAGAAATAAGGTAGAAATGGAGGAAAATGGATTGCAGCATAATCATTCCCATGGGAAATGCTTTCTCACTTTTTCTCTGATGAGTGCACGTGCCCTCTGGCAAAAAATTTATAAAAGTAGAAAAGAAAGTAAGAGAAAAGAAAAAAGAAAAAGGGACAAGACTCATATAAGTAAAATCAGAAATGCAAAAGAAACCCTTACATCTGATAAAACAGAAATACAAAGAAGCATAAGATTATTATGAATTATTCACAAACAAATTAGACAACCTAGAAAAATATGAGTAAATTCCTTGAGTCACTCAGGGAATGAATGACAAAGAAATAGAAAAAAATTTTAAGAGATTTTTACTACAGGGTACATGCACTCGCTGGAGAGACAGAGCCAGATAGATAGAGAGAAATCACCCTTTGGGGGGATGGTGACGCTGCAATCCCTCTGCTCCATTCTCCTCTCTGGATTTTGGGCATGCAGGCACATGCTCCTGGTGTGAATTTTAAGCTGCCAAGTTCATGACTGAAACCACGGTCAAGTATGTAGGAGTCCAGCAATACAAACATTATGTCATCTGCTGGTTCCAAGAAAAAGAAAATTTTAGCAGAGCAAAAACAAATAAGGAGATTGAATCAATAAGTCTCCTATAAAGAAAGGTCTAGGACCTGGCTTCACTGCTGAATTCTATCAACATGTAAAAAGAACTAATACAAGTGCTCTCAAACTATTTAAAAAAAATTAAAGAGAACACTTACAAACTCACTTTATGAAGTCAATATCATCCCAAAGCCAGGTCTAAATACTATAAAAGAAAAAAAATAGAAAAAGAAAACTATAGGTTAGTATACCTGATGAACACAAAAATCCTCAACAAACTACTAGTAAACCAAATTCAGCAGCATATTAAAAAGAGCATTTGCCATGATCAGATAGGATTTATCTGAGATGCACAAGGTTGGTTCAACATGCTAAATCAATAAACATAATACATTACATTAACATTAAGGATAAAAGTCATATCATCATTTAAATAGGAATGTTTAAATATTAAGTACCATTCATACTTACCTGAGCCTCTCCTACTTTCTTATTTTTGCAAATGACATCAAGACATGCTGTAGCATACCATGTCACGTCAATCACAGTTTCTCTTCCCCCCCTGAGGACGTTGGATTCCATTACCTGTTTCAAGTGTTTGAGCTTCCAGGATCTGATAGAGAGTGCAGATATTGACAATATCACTATTGCTTCTGTGGCTGCTTCCTCATCCCACGCTGGGCAGCCATTTGACACACAGTGTAGGTAGCACCCATGGCTGCCTCTGGCTGTTTCAAACAGAAAACAGGCTCCATTGGATTATTATATGATTTTTGCCTTTAGAGAAATTCAGATGAGTCAGGTGGTGCTTACAAGCTAGGATGCCAAGGAAATAATGCATTTTTTAAAAAAATTGTTATTTTATTTAAGAACTAGGAAACAAATAAATTCTATCAGTCATCTGAATAACACCTTCCTCATTCCCCTGAATAGACATGTCAGAAAATCTGGATTCAGAAAAGAGATTTCTAGATTCTCTGACACTGTTTTCTTTGCTATTGATATTGATCTGAAATGTTTTTCCTGCACTGTTAAATCCAACTTTTTAGTGACACAAAATCCTACTCTTGATCCTGAATATCCCATGGGTATGAACTCCGAGTTTTAAAAATTCCATTTAAAAATTTTTTTAGAATATTCATTAAGCATCCATCATGTGCGTATATGCCAAGCTATCACTTGGCACTTAACAGAAGGGTTTTCTGTGTATTTACTCTGGTGTTTTTAGATTTACCTTGAATGTTAGTACAAAATTTGCATATCAGTTCAAATATTTATACACATGCATAACGAAAAATTATAATATTTGATTGTCTACATTTACCTATTTAATGTATTTACTTATTGTTTAAGCTAATTTATGAATTTTATTGAATTCTTATAAGTCTACCAATTCAATATTTTTATAGCCGTTATATCTAATCAAGACTCAGTATGTTCTGTATCTTACAAAAAGGTACAGAATTTTGTACTCTCTACACTAAATATTGGTAAAGCACATCTCTCTTTCTTAAGCAAAATCAGATTCATTATTTGAAATTTACCTTTCTCTCTCTCTGCTGTCCTCATATTGTCTCCATTTTTCATGATAATCACCTGAGCACACGTACTAGAAAAATTTATGTTTATTTCATTCCTTTTCTAACTTCTCAGATGTTTTATTGTAACCAGTGCCATACATTCTACCCATGAATGGTAGAAGTACCTAGATTAAAAAATAATATTAGGTCAATTGGAGTTGTCCTGACTGACTACAAGTTATGTCATTAAATCGCAGAAAGGAAAGAGAGGAGGAAGGGTGGACTATTGACTTGGAGGACAAAAAGTGTGTACTTATTTACCTTTTTCTTATTTAAAAGATCTTAGGGTAGCTATTGCTTAATTCTCTGACTCTGGCATTATAGTATATATTTGAAAAAGTAAATAACTATTAGGGGCATTCTCTATGTATGAGATCTTCAATAATCTAATTTGTGCCTTTCCTGCCAAGAGAACAAATCCCTTAGAAGTATTATCTCAGCTTTGAATGTGAAATTAATATATTCTTCCTAGTTACCTGAGACTAAGAAATCACCAGTATACTCTGAGGGTCAACACCCTTGCCTTATGATAACACAGGTCTTCTGGAACAAGACAAAGCTTTGTTGTACAATAGACCTAGGATTGAATTGTGTAGAAAGCAGAAATCACCCCTTACCCACAATATAGCTCCAGATAAGAAAGAATGTGAAAGGTGTTCATGCCAGAAAGTGGGCCCAGGAATGTATGTGATCGCTGCACTGCTTCACCTTATAGACTTTGGATCAGGAGCACTTAGTCCCCCTGAGTTCCCATAGGAAACATGCATAATCTCTTAGGTCCTCAGGAGTCTTACATCTCAATGTGAAAAGGAGCTTAGGAGCCCCAGTGACCACCGAGACCTAAGGGAAAGCATGATACAGACCTTCATATACTATGGGGGAAAAAACTTCCCAACCATATCTGGCCCCTGGAAAATAATCACTACACCAGAAATATACCAGCATTAGGACTAGAAGTTGGGAATTCTTATCTAAGACAATTAAAAATAAACCAAAGGTGTATACAAATATGTGACTTCAAGATGTTTAACTATTATTGTGAATTTCATATTGAAAAAGAGGAAAAAGTAGCAGTAAAAATGGTTTGAAATAACACATACTTGTGATAATAAAAA